GTGTCAATCGTGCAGGTGTGTGCATCTACATACTTTGATATACAAAATATCGAAGATTTACCGACGGAGTGGGCTGCAACCCTCCAATTGCATGTATTGTCGATGTAGCGAACAACGAACTTTGATTTCGTTGACCTACTGACCTTGTCTTCACGGTTAGATCGCATCGCTGCATTTGACAGCACCATACGCAGGTCTTGTTTTGAAACGAATATCTTCCCCACGTGCAGTTCTGATCCGTCTGGTAAAAGGTTGTACCTTGTGGCCTGTTCTATAGTCACGGTGCTTGCGGATTGAGGTACTAGTATTTGATGATCACCAACATTACCGGGCTCAGTGGATGAGGGTTCTACTGATGGGAAAACATGGTCTGTCAAAGGACTTGCATGTTGTACTTGTGCTGTATTATTTAATTCATCAAATGGGAAAACATGTTCCGTACGAGGACTTGCATGTTGTACTTGTGCTGTATTATTTATCTCATCTGATGGGACGTGCATTACGGAAGGCATGCGTGTCGCAGGGGTGACCAATTCTGAGTCTTGAGTGTATATACAGTCTGAACTGTACATGTTCTACATGTATACGTCGTTCAACCCCCACTCATCTACTCCCGTGGAACCTTCTTCCGGTACAGATTCTCCATTAGGAATGGACTGCTCTCCATTCTGGTTTAATCTAGATGACTTTAGGTCAATGCTTTCGCGAAGGACGGTCGATACAAACAGTGGGACTTTAGAAACCTGTTCTTGGACTAATGCAATTCGGAGGTCATCATCATCCATTACAAACATTGGCGGTGAATCGCATGCCAAGTTGTACGGTACCCTAATTACCAGGTCGTACCCATTCTGGTCGACTTTCATCACTCTGTACAACTGATTTTTCAGTTCTTTGTACGTTACTGTAAGTGGGACAATTATTCCTTTCAGCTTACCGCCGACATACGAATTTGTATTGTCTTCCCACGTACCACCAAATCTTATGAATAAACTTTTACCAATCTCCATCCTACATTAGAAGGGGACAAATACATGGATTTTAGATTATCGAACAGACATGCAGGCCACAGAGTCCTCAAACGGTATCTATTTAAAACGTACCTGCCAGATGGACGATTTCTAGTTCAATGAGTGTGGGATAGTTAAAAAAAGGTGACAGATGTGTTGGGAAGTCTGATGTATTAATCATCGGAATAGTTAATCTAACACGTGAATACACATTAATGATTGTGAGAGAGTGCTTACAGCGTGATAAGGAAGTGTAATGCAATCAATGTCCTTCTGATGCTTCAACAACCGAGCAAGGAGAAGAACAACAACAACAACAACAACTTAATGCAGTGTATGGGGTGTGGGGACATGGGTTAATGAGTTTTTTTTCATATTGGGAAAATTAACAAAATAAAATAAAATTAATGCGAGTGGATTGGTGAATGACATGTTACCATTACACTCTGCCATGCAGTTCAATCAGCCACATCGCATTAAATGCATCTGACGACGTGTGTGAAAAGAAAATAAGTAGAAACGACTATGAATAAAAAACGATATCGAGAGCGAGAATGATCGTGATCATGCGCTGTAACAACAATATCGAGAAAGCGTGCGTCGAGAGGGGACATAACGAAATCGAGATCATGTCAGATCGAGATCGAGTTAGATCGAGAGCGATAACAATTTACTTCAAGATCGAGTTAGATCGAGAGCGAGAGCGAATAACATCGAGAACGAGTTTGATCGAGTTAGATCGAGATGGAGATTGAATTAGATGGAGATCGAGAGCGAATAACATCGAGATCGAGAGCGAATAACATCTAGATCGATTTACATCGAGAGCGAGCTTATAAGACGCAATGGAAAAAAAAAGTTCATTCAAAGTAACATTCATTATGCCAAATTTGTGTCGCATACTGCCTTCTAATGTGCGACACTTCAGACTGAACAAGAGTTTCTAAAGTATTACCCGACACAAGATATTCCAAAAATTTACATGCAAAAATACCACAGTCTATACTACCTTTCTGCCTCGTGTCGGTCGTAGGACGGTATACACACCACAGAGTCTTCCTCAGCTTGCAATCGGTCGTATCCATCAGCCCACATGCGTACAAAAGCGATGGGATTGTATGACTCAACGGCCGCAGGTCTGTCATCAACTTCGACGTAGAAATGTGGCCTGGCAATGAGTTGTACACAAAAATCTCGGACTGGGTCATATCTATCGCAACCAGGACCCAGTGATCCCTGATATAGAGTGGGTTGTACACTACGTCGACGTCCATTCAGGCTGGAATGAAATCTTCCACCTGACCCAGCACGGCATCCATGCACTCCTTATACTCGTCCCAAGCATTGATCGTGTCCTAGATGACCTTCCCCTTGATTCGTGCGTAGGGACCAGCTGCAGCGGCAATAACTTGCTGCATAACAGCAACATCACACACACACAAGACAATCACCATTAGATTTGTCGAAACATAAATATTATGCGTGTTTAAATGAACTACCTATCTTACCATTTGTAATGGGTCCAGGATAGAAAATTTATGAACGCACAGGTGTGGCCGACTACCGAGCTTCCTCATAATGAAATATGTAATGGCAACAGCTTCCTGCACTCACAAGTACAACAGATATGTTTGGTGAAACAGAGTGCAGTAATGGGCTTAGGGTTATGGGATGTGTTGTATCACTTACCGGGTCTTCGACCTTCTCCTTAGGATTGAGGATGTTAATGAAGAATTTCCTGGAATATCCGCTCTGCACATTCCAAGTTGTAGACGGCCGCATTATTTTGTCATTCCCAGGGTCCTGTACCCAACGCATCATCTCCCTAAACTTGGCATCCGAAAAGTTATGCAATGAGTTGTATTTGGGACGAAATGGCCTAACCTGGCTGGCAGGTACGAGATCCACATCCACCATCTTTTGCTTCTTCTTCCGCCGACGCGTGTCCTCTGGACTGAATGGTTTAGTTTCCGTCCGCTTACACTCCGTCCTTGTTTCGTCGGGATACGAAACCTACAAAACACAAGGAAGAGGCAATTTTTTTTTCTGTACGTAGTTTGTTAAGTTTAGAAAAGGGTGTGCAGGACCATACCTCGGTTTTCGTGGCCGACTGCTTAGGAGCGGTTTTTTGTTCAGTTTTCTTCCGCTTAGTGGGTTCGTTAA